ACATAGTTTGGTCAAGAAAAGGGCTGGCAGTTCAGTTTTTGAGGCTTATTCTTATTGTTGACTATAAGGTGGGAGCTATGCATAACTAACTCAGTGTGTTACTCTTCTTACTGTTACTGTGATAAACTGCCATAAACTTATTGGCTTAAAGCAATTCAGATTTATTATATTATAATTTTGTAGGTCATGGATCCTTTCTTTGGCTGATTGCATCTTTCCTCCTCCTTCAAATCCAGCACTGTTGGGCTGAGTTCTTCTCATGCTGATTAGCAAACTAATTCCATCTGCAAACTTTGTACTCTGGCTGTATAACAACATATTCACAGGTTCTGAGGATTAGGAGGTGGCTCTCTCTGGGAGGCCATTATTCCGTGTATCACAATCACCTCTTCTGTTGATTAGGAGCTCCGAATACTGTTTTCTTCCCACTAATCTTTTCATTTCTACTTATCTTTAAGCTCTTGATTTATGCTCTGTCCAATTCACTTCCAATGTGAGAGAATCTGGTTCAATTTGTTATTATTATTTTTACTGATCTTTGACACCTGGTTTTTCTCAAGCTATTGAGTCAGATGTTAGCTGCTTTCCATGGCTTGTAGGTCTGATGCAAGTCCCCACACAATTAGTTAGGGGCCAAGGCCATAGGGTGGAGTATTACCACTGTGTGGGGGGGAGTTCCTAAAGCTTCTGTTTCATCAGGGACCTTCAAAGGGAAAATTTGCATCAGAAAGCTGGCGTGAATGTGGCAGAAACATTGATTTATTTTCTAGGACAAGTTTCATGGAAAGAAAGTAAACTTACAGGTAATAGGGGAAGGGCTTGCCAAAATTTACATATTCAAGATTTTATATGCAGAAATTTGACTTTTTTTTTTTTAAGGAGCTAAACTCGCTCTTGAACTGCCATTCTTTCTTTCAAGAGGGAGGAAAAATTAATTTCACAATTTGAAGATCAACCTGTTTTAGTTCAAAACAAGCCTTTAGTGGTCTATTAAAGATTTAGTAAATTTTGAGTTTTGACTTTCAATATTCCCTAATGTCCTTGACTTTGCTTCTTGGTGTGTGCGTGTAAGAGGAAACTTAGGTGACCAGGTGTCTGGAGTATTTGGTCTTTTGTTCTCTTGACATAGAGAGCTTGGCCAGTCTCTTCAGCCTGTTGGAGCCCTCATTGCTCTGGGTGGTTCTTTATTTACCATTACCCTTCAGCTGGACCTCTGCTTCCCACCATGCATCTCTCAATGTCTGTCTTGGGATTCCCTTAATCCTGCACTGAGGCTGTCTCTTGGCACACATACTGGTCTTAAATTCTTAGTTCCTTTCTTCCTTATCTAAGGGAGCTTTCTATATTGCCACAATCTGATGGAGCAAGAGCATGCATAGAGTGGCCTTGGCAGGCTCTCTTTGCCTAAGTGTGTCAGGTTACCATTCACCTTCTGCTGCTCTGGGCAGTCATTTGCTCTTTCATAATGAAATGGAATTCAGATGTTCTTTTGATATTCCAAAACCTGAATCCCATTTTTCTATAGTTAATTAAGTGTATTTTTTAGATTTATGAAAATGAATACATAATATAGTCAATGTGAAACATCTAAAGGGGTATAAAGGAGCTGCCTAAAACTCACTGTTAATAGTAACCTAAGTTCTCCACAACTTGGAAGCATATTTAGTTTTTTGTATCTCTGGGGTATCTACATTATTCCATGGGATAATTCCATGGTCTAACACTGAGTATTATGGTTTCCAAAACATTTCATTAGGAATTTTGTTAAGCAATTATATCAATGAGTGGTATCATTTTTTTGAGTATTACATTTTATATTATGTTTATTTTTATAGTACCTTTGTTTATTTTTTTTAAGATTTCAGAATGTTAGGAGGTACACGTGTTTGTGTTTTGTTTACATACTTTAACTTTTACACAAATTGAGTCAAAGTTATGAGCGTGTACCCCACTCAGTGTGCACCATACCCAAGGGGTGTGAATTTACTGATCTCCTCCTCTCTCCTCTCCTCAGCTTGCTTTTCATTGAGATTTACTTACATATGTGCAATTAAGTGTTTATAGATCAGTTACAGTCTGGTATTGAGCACGTGTGTTTGTTTCTCTATTCCTGTTCTGTTTTCACTTAGAACAGTCCAGTTCTGTCTAGGCTGTCACAAAAGATACTAGATCATTATTCTTCTTTAAGGCTGAGCAGCACTCTGTAGTATGCATAGACCATTCTTTTTTAGTCCATGCAGGTGAGGTTATTTTTAAATGTATTGTTTTGAAGATTATCTTGGAACTATGGATTTAATTAGAGAAAAGAGTCTTAGGACCTAGATTATCTTAACATAGGCAATTAACATAATTAACAGATTTTGTTAGAGCCAAGAGATTTAGGACATACATTAGGGTTTCCCTACTTATTTTCTGAATGGTAGGAAACCCTAATCTACTTTGTAATCACAGTGAAATTTGGTTTTCTAATGTAACTGTGAAAGAATATTAAAAAGCACTTCAGGTTCCAAGAAAAAAGAATGTCTGAGAGGCAAAAAGTATTCTTTATGTTAAGACTTGTGTCACGATGGCTGGAGGAGAACTTGACCGTTAAAAATACTAAAATGTATTCGCTTATCATTTAGGATGAAAAATGTCCTCCGTTAAAGTCAACAGGCTGCGTTCTTTCTAGTAGAAAAAACAAAAGCCACGACTGCACAGCTTGTGAGGAGTTGACTTGATTTGAATGGAGCTCTGTTTCATGCCAAAAATGCATATTATTTCCACCGTGCTGTTTTCTCTTCAGGAAAGAAATTGGATAAGATGGAAAGCATATAATTATTTATAAGAAAAAAAACTAGGTGTAGGAAAAGATATTCTAGGCTGTGTTTCAAATGTTGCTATATTAATGTACTAAATATTATAGAAATGTGGCTTATTTTAGGGGTGAAAAGAGTTAGAAATGTAAGTACTTATGAAAATATATCGTGGAGCTTTGAAAGTCCACGTGAAACATTCTTCTTTGAAAATCATCTACTAGAGTATCAAGAGACTTTTTGAAAGCCTTTGTAATAGCTCTCATAATAACAAAGAACATTGTCTTGCTTAGAACTAGAGCAAAGCAAATTCTCTGCTTATATAATTTTATTTATCTTCCCTAAGTAAACATTAAAATTGTGGTTTTATATATAAAATACAGCTAGATATTTGCATTTGGGTGTTAGACTTAAGATTCCTTGACTTTATTTAAAATTTATTTGAGTCACATCGTGTTTTTTTTTTTTTTTTGGCTGGGGCTGGATTTGAACCCACCACCTCTGGCATATGGGGCTGGCAACGTACCCTTTTGAGCCATAGGTGCTGCCCCGGGGTTACATCATGTTTTTATTTCTTAAATATTTAAAAATTATCCTAAAAATTTGAGAGGACCTTATTTGTTGAGAGAATATGTACATGCTTTGAAATTCTTTCTTCTGATTTATAAACTATTCTTTAAAGTTCTTACAGTTGTGGCTTGTGTAGGTAATGATTTAATAAATGACATTACCTGTAGCACATAATTTGAATTACAGATGGTACATCTGAACTCATCTCCACTCGCTATGAACCCTGTTATATTTCTGATACGACAGGAAGGAGGTTAGGCTTCCTAGACAAATGAATGAGGTATCAATGGTACAAAGCACAACCGCATGTCACACCAATTAGCTCTATTGGCTTTACTGCAAAGAACTAAATATCCTGGATCAATTCACGTGATGTTGAGGTTTATCTATTTGTACCCCAAATCAATTAATCTATGTTCCTGAATCTCATCTTAGGCTGAAATGAAAGAGAAAGATTTGCATTGGATGAAGTTCTTCATGGCTGACATGGGTCTTTAAATCAGGACTCAATAATCTACTTCTCAGCAGAAAGCATAAGCGCTTGAGTAATAAGCAGGAATCCTGGATGAAACTAAATGTAGGGATTTTATATATCACAAAATTAATGTGCCTTGAATAGTTTGAATGAGAACCCATGAGGTTAAAGTTCAAATAAGCAGAACCTCATAATTTGAATAACTCAATTGATTTTAGGAGTAACAAGTTAAATCTCTTAAAATAGCAATTTTAATCTCTTTAAAAATTATGAAACTAATAACCTTTTGTGATAAATGTTAGTGTACGTGTTTGTGTCTATTTGAAGTCAGTGTTCACTAGTAGCATCTGTGCTCAGCTGGGACTTGGCTATAGAACCTGTTGGTAGTAAAGCAGAATGCTGGAGTTCTGCCAGAAAAAAGCAGGGTTGAACTGGTTCCTGTATGTGCCTAGATTCAAGTCTCATACGACAGTAAAAACCTGCCAGGTCCTGGCTTTCAAAGATGGTTTAGTCATGCATGTTCACCCCATCTGTTGGATGCATAAGGGATTTCCTTCTCAGCTCAGCCCTCCAGCCACAAACACTGCCACTGTTTCTCCCACCCCCTTCCTTTAATTCTTCCTTTCCTTCTGGGAGCGTGCAGGCTGCGTAAGCCGGGTGCAGCTGATGCCACTCTAGGGAAATCCTGCCACAGACCTTGAGGTGAGCCAGAAAGGTAGACTAATTTTTCTGTTGCTACCTGGCTTAATTTCAGGATAGTTTGATTTAGTGATTAAAAAACTTAATTCTATTATAAAAAATGAATACACCATTACAATTTCAACCAAAAAATTAATGTAGCTCTGTATGACCTTGAACTCTTCTCTATGTGTGAGCTGTGTCTGGGGACCCCCCAGGTGAAACTGTGCTTAGAATATAAGCCCCTATTTTCAAACCTCAAACTGCACAAACAAACTACTGTAGTAATTTTGGCTGGCTGGTGGTCTTGTAGCCAATGTATAATTATATATATATTTTTTGATGTACACAAACTCCAAAAAGATTAAGATAAAGAAAGAAAAGGGTGACCTTTCTAACCAGTGGTTTATGGTTTCAGGTATATGCTAATGGGAACTTAAAAGCCATGTAAGTAATTATTGTTCTTATTTTCTTTCACACAGATTTATGACAAATACCAAGATTTGTATACTGTGGAGCCAAATAACGCACGTCAGCTGGTGGAAATTGCAGCCAGGGATATTGAGAAGCTGCTGAGCAACAGATCTAAAGCCCTGGTGGTGAGTTTAAATCGGATCTGCTGCTCATTTTACTATTTTTTATTATTTATCTATTATTCATTTTCATGCTTTATTTGGAGAGTTTTGTTGGTATGCTCTCTTCGTTAGTAACTGTATTCATCTAACGTGTTATTCATACGATACTATGTTATTCATGAGATATCAATGGTTTCACTGTGAACCCAAATAATCAGTTAGCTTCTTTCTGATTACTGGCTTATTACTATTATAATATATTATATTGTTATATGACTATCATCTTTTTATAATGCATATTTAATTAACATATATGTATATTGATCCATATGTACATCATGATGCATAATAATAAGATGAGCATGTTTAAATCTGTCATGTAACATAAAACCCACAAACAATTAGCAGCACCTTTAAAGCAGGGTATTCTCTTGTCCACCACCCTGCCTCTCTGCCAGAGATGGCTATTAAGCTAGATATTAGATTAATCTTTTTTTTTTTTCTACTTTTGAAAAATAGTTGTACCTCACAAAAAAATGCTATGCTAAACAAGATACTTTTTAGTTTTCTTGCGTTACCTCTTTTTTAAATTCACATCTGCTCCTTGCCTTTCTCCATCAACATTATTTTATATGATTTAGCTATAAGTTTGCACTTAGGTTTAATTAATTTTATTTACAGTTGAATATTATTTTATGGGACTGTATCTCAATTTGTTCATTTGTTCTCATTTGGTAAGTTATTATTTGGATTGTTTCCAGACAGCAGTATGAATAGTGCTGTCAGATTTTCTTGAACAAGTCTCTTGGTACAACGTGCGAGAATATCTGTGGGATGAATGCAGGATAGCAGAAATCCTGGACTGTAGGTTCTTCCCAAAGTCACTGTTGCAAAAGTATGACCATCATTTTTCATAATGATCGTATGAAATTAGACCTCCTAGTTATAAATGTGCCCTCACTGGCCTACATCCTGGTAAACATGTGGAAATGTCAGACTTGTTAATTATAGGAGATGAGATGGGTATAAAATGGTACCTTCTGTATATCTCTCATGAGAAAGACATCTCACTGTATATTCATACGCCATTCTTGCTTCCTCTGCAGCTATGTTTTTAGGCACATTTTACTTAATTTTAGGTTATGTATTCTCGATGGTCATTTATTTTTACTTGTTATATATATGATGTAAATATCTTTTGGCAGTTTGTGCGATGTCCATTGTATTTATAATGATTTTAATGAGATAAGGTCTTAATTTTTAATGTAGTTAAGTCAACTTTTTAAAAAATAGCATTTTGGGTTTTTTTTCTTTTTTGTTATTGTTAAGGAATCCCTCCCTACCCTGAGGTTACACACATGATTTTAAAATTTATTTCATTCTAAATGGTTCTAAGTTTTGTCTTTCACGTTTATGTTCTTAGTCCACTTGTGAGTGATATTAGCATATAATTTTGGGCTGCAATTAAAGCTAATGTTTTGGCAATGGTTTTCCTAGGATATTTGTTAAATAGTTGCCTTCCACCAGTGAGAACACTGATTGTCAGGCGAGCTCTCTGGGAATCTCTCAATATATTCTTCAGAAGGATCTTCAATATTCTTGAACTTCTACTTCTTTTCTAAATTTTAGATTCAGCATGTTATTATTTAGCAAGATCTGTACTGGAATTTTTTTTTCTTTTTTATTAGAGACAGAGTCTCACTTTATCACCCTGGGTAGAGTGCTATGGTGTCACAGCTCACAGCAACCTCCAACTCCTGGGCTTAGGTGATTCTCTTGCCTCTGCCTCCCATTATTATCTTCAAGTCCCTCTGCTGGGACTACAGGCACCCACCACAACACCTGGCTATTTTTTGTTGCAGTTTGGTTGGGGCTAGGTTCAAACCTGCCACCTTTGATATATTGGGCCAGCGCCCTACTCACTGAGCCACAGGCGCTGCCCCTGTATTGGGATTTTGATTGGTATTAAACTTATGTAGACCAAATTGAGAAAAATTGATATCTCTTATGTTTTGTCTTTCTAATTGTAAACAGGATCTTCCATTTAGCATTTGTTTTATATTTAAGAAGCTTTTAAGGTTCTTTCATAAAGTTCTTACACATCTTCTGTTGGATGTGATACCTGAGCTTCAGCTCAGCTCCTTTCACTCTGTAGATCTCAGCACCATTACAGGTGTTGGCCCGGAGACAACTCTCTAAATTTTCTGTTTATTTAATGCTCACAGTTTAGACTTTGAGTTTACTGTAGTTTATGTTTATCTTGACCCTCAGACATTTTCCTTGCGTTCATCAGTGTGAATCTTTATATTTTTCTTAAAGTACCCAAGGTCTTGTAATGTAGCAGGAATGTCTGTTGGAATATTTGGTATGCCATATTGCTAGAAGTTGAACTTTTAATTTTTAAGACATGAATAACTGAATAATCTATAGACAAACTCTCATTAATAGAAAATTCAAAGCATTATTATCTTCAAGTTTGGAGATGTGAATACCATTTTTAAACATTGTGAGATGTAAATGTTTGCTATAAAAACTTACGTAATAAAAAGTACAACACTTTCTAATAAAGTAAGTCATGGTCTGATGACATCTGAAAATGATTCTGTTTATATTGATTTTGTAAGCTTAACTTGTACTCCATATGTAGAAAGCAAGTTATCTGGATAAAGTCCCTGTAAAAAGGCTGCGGAATGAAATAGCATGTATCTTACCTTAATTGGATAAAAATAGGAGGCTTTTGAGACTTCTTTCTTATTTATCATTTGGAATTATAGCTCAAACACCTGTTGCATTATTGGAGTCCTATGGGGGATCAGTGAAGAGGCGTCATAAAGTGCTTCATGGCAGAATATGGAAGACACAGTGGCTAATTAAAAGTAAAATTAGTTAGATTTTATTTTAGGGACAAAGATTCATGTTTGTTTTCAAACTAAATTCTTTGCTTCGCTTGTGTGATTCCACAAACATAGATAAAACATTATTTAAAAGAGAACTATTTTGAGGCTAATTAAAAAACAGGTCTTCCGTTGTATTGTGAGAGAATGCAAGATGGCCTTATTAACTTGTATTTTTGTTATGAGCTTATACTCAGAAAGACATCTCAATTTTAACAGTTTTAATCTATCTGTGTGGGGTACTAATGTAATTTTATAGGTAAATACAGTGGGGAAAATCATGAATATACAAGTCTGCAGTAGATGATAAATTTAATACCAGTTATACCTTATTGAGTGTTTACTAAGTAGCATCATCTAATTATTTCTTACAATAATACTGTGGTCTAGACACCATTATTAGTCTCATTTTTCAACGAGGAAGCTGAAACTTTGAGGGTTTATGAAACTTGCCCACGGAGATGTTTCTAATAAGTAATGTATACCAGTACTTCTCAAACTTTAATGTGTGTGCAAATAACCCATGGCTCTTATTAAAATGCAAATTTTTATTCAGTAGATCGGGCCAGAAATACTACATTTTTAAAAAGCTTATAGGTGATGTTCATACTGCTGGAACAAAGATCAGACTTTGTGTACCAAGAGTGTAAGAAGGTTCAAATTCAGGCGTGTCTGACTTTAAGATCTGCATTCTTAACCAATGATATGAATATATCCTTTGGCTGGACGAAGTGTATTATCATAATAGGTGGGAAGTGGTGGCTAGGTAGTATCTTACAAACTACTGTTCATTTCATACTGATTAAGAAATATATGTTCCACGTAATAGAATATTCTGCAAGGCTATTAATTTTTCAGTGAATCCTGTATTGATTAACCATTTTCAAAAGAATGATTCAATAAAACAATATATAACACTGAAACAATTTTCATTTCTATGTGTTTGAAAATTTTACAACCTTTGTCATCCCTCAGTGTCAAGGTTACAACCTAAGATCTCTTTGAAAATACAGATGTAAAAACTGTGAAAGAATAGTGAAATGAGCTATTTTTTTCTTGAACTAGATTTTTCTTGGTGAAATGATTGCTTTTCAGCATCTGACATGACTGCTACGATAATTGTTATAGTGCCTATATGCACACAGATTTTATGTATTTTAATGTTAACTTTGAATCCTATCATTCATAGCCTTAAAAACTTAAATGTAACTTTTTTTATTGCTTTATGTTTCAGCTCGTGTTTGTTTATATGTTTGACTCTCAACGACTTCCCACCATATTTTCCTTTTTCAGTTTCAGCGTTTATTTTGAGTTTTTATGTATACCTATTTTGTATTATACTCTTTGGATTTGCTCCATCAGCTTGCCTTAGGAAAAGCTCAAAGAGAAATCGATAGAAAAAAATTTCCGTTGCTATCTCTTTGACAGCAAAACAGACTTTGCACTTTATTACTTGTAGTTTGGTTTTCACTGGGGTAGCGGTGGCTACATGAAATCATGTTTTGATTCTGATGATTCGTGTGCATTAGGGCCTTATAGACATTCTAGGAAGTAGACACATTAAACATTTATTCATTCTTATTTTCTAAACAAGGAAATTCACAGGACCCATAGTCTTGCCCAAAATTGTATAGACAGCACGAGGTGGTGGCAGAATTCATCTGTAGACCTTCTGTCTATAATTCTATTTTTTTTACTGCCTCTAATTCCACATTGATAATTTGAACCATTTTATTTCCAAGGTACGTCTGCTCAAGGATGATTTTTTTGATGTTTGCTACATCCATGTCTTAGAAACTGGCTCCCTGTGATGATTATCTTGCTAATGTCATTGGATTATTCTTAATCTCAAATCAAACAATATTTAGAAACAAAAAAGAAACAATCATTTATGATTGTTGTTAACATTCATTTCATTCTGAACTAGGCTGAAATTTCTGCAAGTGTTACTGATCAGTTTATGGGAGAAAGCTTTTCAACAAAATAATTGAGCCACCGGTGGTGCCTCCTGAGAGATGGAGGTCAATGAAATCACTGGTCTCATTGTCCACCAACCAGCCCAGGCAAGGGGATCTGCTCAGTAAATGAAGGTCTCTAGGCATTTTGCTCAAAGAAAATAGAATCAAGGTT